TCAACACTAGCTTGGGGACCCGGCGCTGCCCGGGTTATTAGAGAAAGTGGGTAATGGAGGTTCTCTATGCCAAGTTTGGTCTTTATTGGTCATTGGATGATGGTTGCATTGTTTTCAGGAAGTGAGTGAAGGTACTTGAAGTCCCATCATCCATGGTCAACCCTCCTCCAAACAGCAGCAGTATATAGAGTGGGTCATGGGGGCTCTGTGTGCCAAGTTTGGTCTTTATCAGTCATTGGATGAGGGTGGCAGTGGTTTCAGTAAGTGAGTGAAGGTACTGCAAGTCCCATCATCCAAAGTCCATCCTCCTTCAAACTGCAGCAGGATGCAGAGTGGGTCATGGGGGCTCTGTGTGCTAGGTTTGGTCTTGATTGGTCATTGGATGACTGTTGCAGAAGTCTTGGGATGTGAGTGGAGGTACTTGAAGTCCCATCATCCATAGTCTGTTCTCCCCCAAACCTCACCAGAATGTTGAGTTGGCCAAGGGGGCTCTCTGTGCCAAGTTTGGTCTTTCTTGGTATTTGGATAAGTGTCACTGTGGTTTCAGGAAGTGAGTGAAGGTACTGGAAGTCCCATCATCCATCGTCCGTCCTCCTCCAAACAGCATCGGGATGTAGAGTTGTTCATGGGGGCTCTGTGTGCCAAGTTTGGTCTTGATCGGACATTAGATGAGGGTTGCAGCAGTCTTTGGAAGGGAGTGGAGGTACTTGAAGTCCCATCATCCATGGTCTATTTGGCCTTGATCAGTCATTGGTGAGGGTCTCAGTGGTCTCAGGAAGTGAGTGAAGTGACTGCAAGTCCCATCATCCATTTCCAAATTTTTCCAAACTGCACCAGGATGTAGAGTGGGTCATGCGGGCTCTCTGTGCGAATTGTGATCCTGACCCATCACTGTTGGCAGTTGTAATGGTCTCAGCAAGGGAGTGCAGGTATTGCAAGTCCCATCGTCCATGGTGCATCCTCCCCCAAACCGCACCAGGATGTAGAGTGCATCATAGAGACTCAAGTGTGTCAAGTTTGGTCTTTATCGATAATTGGATGAGGGTTGCAGTGGTCTCAGGAATTGAGCAAAGATACTGCAAGTCCCATAATCCATGGTCCATCCCCGGCCAAAACACACCAGGACATAAAGTGGGTCATGAGAGGTCTATGTGCCAAGTTTGGTCCCGATCAGTCATTGGATGAGGTTAACAGCGGTCTCAGAATGTGATTGATGGCACTGCAAGTCCCATCATCCATGGTTGCAGTAGGATGTCGAGTGGGTCATGGGGGCTCTGTGTGCCAAGTCTGGTCTGTATTGGTAATTTTCTGACGCAGCCCCCTCTGGCCTTTTCCTTTCCTCTCTTTGTCATCTCGGAATCTTGAAATTGAGGCTGGCCAATCAGAGACCATATGCAAATTTCCTTCTGTCATGTCCCTGTTTCTGTCATGAACCCTTTTCTCCACCAGGGGCTCCTGTTGAAGCAGGCCAATCAGGGACCATATGCAAATAGCACCACAGCAGCAGCCAATCAGAATCTTGGAACTTTCAGGCTGGCCAATCAGAAAGCCGGCACATACACCGCCACACATCCGCTGCATACAAGTTTTGACTTTTATTATATACTAGCTTGGGGACCCGGCGCTGCCCGGGTTATTAGAGAAAGTGGGTAATGGCGGTTCTGTATGCCAAGTTTGGTCTTTATTGGTCATTGGATAATGGCTGCATTGTTTTCAGGAAGTGAGTGAAGGTACTTGAAGTGCCATCATCCATGGTCCACCCTCCTCCAAACAGCAGCAGGATGTAGAGTGGGTCATGGGGGCTCTGTGTGCCAAGTTTGGTCTAGATTGGTCATTAGATGAGGGTTGAGCAATCTTGGGAAGGAGTGGAGGTACTTGAAGTCCCATCATCCATGGTCTGTCCTCCTCCAAACTGCACAGGATGTAGAGTGGGTCATGGGGGCTCTGTGTGCTAAGTTTGGTCTTGATCAGTCATTGGATTAGGGTCGCAGTGGTTTCAGTAAGTGAGTGAAGGTACTGCAAGTCCCATCATCCATGGTCAACCCTCCTCCAAACTGCAGCAGGATGTAGAGTGGTCATGGGGGCTCTGTGTGCCAAGTTTGGTCTTGATCGGACATTAGATGAGGGTTGCAGCCATCTTGGGATGGGAGTGGAGGTACTTGAACTCCCATCATCCATGGTCTGTCCTCTTCAAAAGTGCACCAGGACGTGGAGTGGGTCATGGGGACTCTGTGTGCCAAGTTTGGTCTTGATCAGTCATTGGTGAGGGTCTCAGTGGTCTCAGGAAGTGAGTGAAGTGACTGCAAGTCCCATCATCCATTGTCAAATTCTTCCAAATCGCACCAGGATGTAGAGTGGGTCATGCTGGCTCTCTGTGTAAATTGTGGTCCTGATCCATCATTGTTGGCAGTTGTAATGGTCTTAGGAAGGGAGTGCAGGTATTGCAAGTCCCATCGTCCATGGTGCATCCTCCTCCAAACTGCACCTGGATGTAGAGTGCATCATGGAGACTCAGTGTGCCAAGTTTGGTCTTTATCGGTAATTGGATGAGGGTTGCAGTGGTCTCAAGAATTGAGCAAAGGTACTGCAAGTCCCATAATCCATGGTCCATCCCCAGCCAAACCACACCAGGACGTAAAGTGGGTCATGAGAGGTCTATGTGCCAAGTTTGGTCCTGATCAGTCATTGGATGAGGTTAACAGCGGTCTCAGAATGTGAGTGATGGTACTGCAAGTCCCATCATCCATGGTTGCAGTAGGATGTCGAGTCGGTCTTGCAGGCTCTGTGTGCCAAGTGTGGTCTGTATTGGTAATTTTCTGACTCAGCCCCTAGCCTTTTCCTTTCCTCTCTTTGTCATCTCGGAATCTTGGAATTGAGGCTGGCCAATCAGAGACCATATGCAAATTTCCTTCTCATGTCCCCGTTTCTGTCATGAACTCTTTTCTCCACCAGGGGCTCCTCTTGAAGCTGGCCAATCAGAGACCATATGCAAATAGCACCGCTGCCCAGCCAATCGGAATCTTGGAACTTTCAGGCTGGCCAATCAGAGACCACAGTGGCAGCCAATCAGAAAGCTAGCACATACACCGCCACACTTTTGTCCTCCGCATACAAACTTTCACCTTTATTATATTATATAGATATAGATATAGATATAGATTCTTCGGAAAGAAGTTTTTCAGTTGAAAATTGCATGTTTATTTATAACATCAGGTATTCCCTTCATCACCGAACAAATCTCTCGATTATACATGAAAGACTTTTGTTTCCCTGCTTAGTATCAAAGTGTTTACATTAACTATTAACAATGGACATCCTTATCTCAGTCACTATTGCTTGCATCAATTTTAGATACCAAGGAGAGTCAATATAATCATGAGCATTAATACTTCCATGTCGGTAAAGACTATTGACCCAAGGTTTCTGCTTATAGAGCAGTGGTTCCCAACCTTTTTTGACCAGGCTCCACTTGACCAGGGACCCATTTGACCAAGCACCACTTTGACCAGAGACCACTTTGACCAGGGGCCACTTTGACCAGCCACCACTTTGACCAGGGGCCACTTTGACCAGCCACCACTTTGACCAGGGACACTTTGACTTGGACCACTTTGAGCAGGCACCATTTTGAGCAGGCAGCACTTGACCAGGGACCACTTTGACCAGGGACCCATTTGACCAGGGACCACTTTGGGCAGGCACCACTTTGACCAGGGACCACTTTGACTGCAGACCACTTGACCACTTGACCAGGGATCACTTTGACCAGGGATCACTTTGACCAGGGACCACTTTAACCTCGGACCACTTGACCACTTTGACCAGGGACCACTTTGACCACAGACCACTTGACCACTTGACCAGGGACCACTTTGACCAGGGACCACTTTGACCTCGGACCACATGACCACTTTGACCATGGACCGCTTCGACCATGGACTACTTTGACCAGACCACTTCAACCAGGGACTACTTTGACCACAGACCACTTGACCACCATAGACCACTTTGACCAGGGACCACTTTGCCCACAGACTGCTTTGACCAGGGACCACTCTCCAACATTAGTACCAAAAGGCATACGAATCAGTTTTTGGTCAACTTTAGATTCGGTTTGGTAATCTGGGGTGCTGATTCAGAAAATTGCATTGGATAGACCACATCAACTCTAGTTTCTGATACAGGACATACGCCACCCAGTAGTAGCCATCTGCTCGGCCACAGAAAACCATGTTTAATAAGCCTTGGCACAATAAGAGGGATTCGCGAGACCAGTTGCTTTAATTGCAATGATGTAGTAATGGTGAGGACCTTATTTTAGTTCTTGTGGACCACTTGTGGTCCACGGACCACAGGTTGGGAACAACTTATAGAGTCATTCTGGTCAGATCTTGTCCAAAACTGCTTTAGACTCAAGAAGTAAGAGAAGTATGAAAGAAAATCAAGGGAAGAGGAAGGCAAGAAAGAAGAGAAAGGAAAGAAAGAAGAGGGAGGAAGGTTATGATGAATAGCAAGGAAAGAAAGTGTTGCACTCCAGGCCTGGGAACCCCAATGACCACAGCACCACACAAGAGTCCAGAATGTAAGCAAACCATTTATTGTAGAAACACATTACAAGTGTAGGCAAAAAGCAGGAATAAACGAAGTAAATGTATAATCCAAAAAGGTAGAGCAATTGATGATAATCCAAACAGTAATCCAAATGTCTCATGCAGATCCCAAGGTGACACAATCCAGGAACAGCCAAAAAGTCACAAGTACAGCATAAGTCCAAAAGCAAAAGGTATGTTTAATAAACTTGTGCAGGAATATCAAAACAAGAACATAGAAAACTTCCAGAAAACTAAAATCCAAAACCAAAGGCTTGAATTGAAAAAAGAGCCAGAGAACTCAGGCCCAGCTTCTGACTTGAATGCTACGTTGCCTGAACTAACTCTTAGGTAAACAACTTGCTAATGAATAAGCACCCATTAAGTTATTTCCCCCCCCCACACGAAATCTCTTCTCAACTTCCCGCATAAGCGCTCAGACCTACGATTTCTATTTTCTGCTCTGATCTGTAAACAAAGACTTTTGTTGATCTTCATAACTCCAGGTGTTTCCTCCTGAGAGCCTTCTGTATCACTTATCTCTTCACCCAACCCCTTATCTAATGGGTTGCTGTCAGTTTTCTGGGTGGTATGGCCATGTTCCAGAAGCATTTTCTCCTGATGTTTCGCCCACTTCTATGGTAGGCATGCCCTGATGTCGGAAACTAGGCAACTGAGGTTTATATATCTGTGGAAAGATGTCCGGGGTGGGAGAAAGAACTCTTGTTTGTTTGAGGCAAATGTGAAAGTTTCAATTGGCCAGCTTGATTAGCATTTAATGGTCTTAGAGCTTCAAAGCTTGGCTGCTTCCTGCTCAGGGGAATTCTTTGTTGGAAGGTGTTAGCTGGCCCTGATTGTTTTCTGTCTGGAATTCTCCCCTGTGATTAAGTTTTATTCTTTATTTACTGTTATAATTTTAGAAGTTTTTAATACCGGTTGCCAGATTTTGTTCATTTTCATGGTTTCCTCCTTTCTGTTGAAATTGTCCCCATGCTTGTGGATTTTAATGGCTTCTCTGTGTCGTCTGACATGGTGGTTGTTAGAGTGGTCAGAGCATTTCCCTCTTCTCAAATAATATGCTGTGTCCAGGTTGGTTCACAAAGTGCTGTGCTATGGCTGACTTCTCTGATTGACTTGACAACGAGCATTGAACAAAAAAAATGGGTAGATCCGAATTCTTGAGTGATCCTCTCGCCGATATGAAGAGAAGACGTTTGAGGAACAGGAAGAAAGGAAAGAAAGAGCCAGAATTGCCATGGAGACATTGTGAGATGAAGAACAGAGGAAGCAGCAGAAAGCAGCCCCAAGGACATCCAGAAAATGATGGGGATAGACCCCAATTTGTTGAGCATTCCCTTGACGATATGGAGTTGACTTGGAAAGGATACACATTACTCCCAGATGTCGGAGGTGCAATCCCCACCAGGGTAGCGCATGTCGTGTGCCCGAGCTGGACCGAACGGCTCATGCCCGAAATCCACCAGAAAGTTCGGGTTCACGCAAAGGCCACCACGTTCAGTGTCCACATTCAGCTGGAGCATGACTGAACCTTCCCTGGAAAAGACATAATGCGGGGTAGAAGTCAAAGTTGTGTCCAAGCCAGGGACCTTATCACGAAGTTTTCCAGGCTGGATGTGCAAAGAAAAGACCTTCCTTTGAGGCGGAAGGAGTGCGACTTGCCCAAGGCCACTCTTACCTGATCATCTTGGGGTAAAATTGCTTGTCCCAAGAAGTCAAAAGAGAGGTGGTGACATAGAGACGGCGGCCGTCCAAGCTCAGCTGCAGCATATGAGGTCCTCCTTGGACCTTCTTGCCCTAAACACAGTGAGGAATAAATAGCCCCAGGATTAGGAAACATGTAAATAGGATAATTCAACATGTAAAAAGGAGTATTAAACACAGAATTTCCCGTTTTCTCTGCAGGCCCTCTGAAAATTCAAGTAACTGAGTAAATCCAAGGCAAGTTTGGATTCGGAAGGCTGGATTTCTATGCAGCCTCTTCCCATTTTCGTCTGTTTCCAAATCCCAAAACTGTCTGACCCAACATAGACCTTACCTGGATCACAAAGGGATCGGGTTGACAGTCCAGCTCTGGATCTTCAAGGACAGTTACAGGACCCCCTTTCTGAAGGTTGCCCCCCACAAATACCTAAAGATCCCAAAGAGACAAGGTCAGTCGAGAATTAAAAACAACAGGAGTGAAGGAATTGGGAGTCCCTTGTCCTCATCATCGCCAGCCAGCTGTTGCACAAGTCAGGAAAAAGCCCTCTGACTTAAAAACACACCACACGCAGAGTGAAGAAACAAATCTTCTTTTATTGAAGCTTAGTAAATATCCAGAAGAAATAAATGCTTGTAAGAAAATAAGAGAGTCCCATGTCCTCATCATTGCCACCCATCAGCCAGAAGTGATGGGATCCATCATCTGGAAATGTGTAATTAGGGAAGGTTGCAAGCTTACCTGCCCGACTAGCTTGGGGCAATGTGGGTCGGTGATATCATATTGCCGGACATCACCATGCACCCAGTTGCTGAAGTAGAGGAACCGGTCGTCCATAGAGATGACGATATCAAAAGGGAATCCTGGAGGAGGAGCAGGATCATTGAGTCACAGGAGACCACAAGGGCCTGCTGGTTCAAACCCTTTCGGCCACATTAGAAGACACAGTCCAAGCCCTCCCAACAGATGTCCTTCAACCTCTCCTTCAAAACCTCCAGAAAAGGAGACTCCACCGGACTTCTAGGAAGCAATTTCCCTTGTAGAATAGCTCTTGCAGCCACGATGTTCTTCCTAATGTTTAGGTGGCATCTCTTTGTTGCAATTCCAATTCATTGTTCTGTATTAACTCACCTTTATAAAACTACACTGCCAAATGGCTGCTTTCTTGTTACTAACCTGGCATTTCGGGGTAGATCCATCCCGATACTTTCTTGTTCGGGACTTGGATCACTTTTTCAGCTGTCCAGCATCCATCCTACAGGGAGAACCAAATTGATCAGGAAAATGGACTTCCTCCCTATGGTTTTTCTTGGAAAGAGTTTGCCTTTGCCTTCCCCCGAGGCTGAGAGAGTGAGAGAGTTTCCATAGCAGAGAAGGAATCCAAACCTAGGTTCTTCAGACACCAAACCATTAAACCAAGCTGGCCCCCCACAACCAATCAATTTCCCTCATAGCCACCCTTTCCCTTTTTCACCTCTGTCTTAAAGAAATGGTGGATGGAACTCTCCAGAAAGCAGGCCACATAACCATGGGCTGCGTTGGGGTTGTGCAAGAAGCGGATCTCCACCGGGTCTGAATCTTCACCCACATCAATTGACTGGAGGAGGCGGTGGGTGGTCAAGTCCCAGACATTGAGGTAGCGGCCATAGCGCCCTGCGGACAAACAGGATCAAGGATTATTCCAAGTGAGGTCTAATCAAAGCAGAATGGAACTATGGCTTCCCTCAATCTGGACACCATACTCCTTTTGATGCAGCCTAGAATTGCATTGGCTATTTTAGGTGCCACATCACACTGTTGGGTTGTGTTCACCTTGTGGTTTACTAGAATTCCTACATCCTCTTTCACATGGACGTTCTCACCTTTCCCCAGATTGTCCAGGTTGAAACCATTGATAAAGTACTTGGGCTCCCCTACTTCAGTGCTGATCAGAACGTTGTGTCGCGGCTGGAACCAGAAGTCACACATCTGGACGGGTCCATCCTCTGGACAGTTCCAGGTCCCTTTCACTTCCCAGGTTTCCGGGTCCAGAAGGAGAAATCCACCTGGGACCAAAAAACAGGAACTGCTGGGATCAGAAGGCAATGTGCTTGCAAAGAGCAATATTACTATTGGTATCCTGATTTCATCCCAGTGTTTGGGATTCAAGGCAGGTGACCTATTAGAATACTTGTAGATGTGTGTGTCTGATTTCCCCCTATTTTGGAGGACTGATTGTATTCCCAAATTGGCATCTACGCCTACAGTACCTCTTCCATTGCCAAATGCATCTCCAATGCCGCAGATCATAATTTCCCCGCTGCTCAAGCAATGTGAGGAGTGCATGAAACTCAAGTTGCATTTCTTGATGATTTCTCGGGGTTCGATGATCTGATGAGGAGTTAGAAAGAGAGGGAAAAGGTCATTTCATCATTGCGTCAGAGCTCCTGGTGGCACAATGGGATAAATCCTTGTGCTGGCAGGACTTTGGACCGAAAGTTTAGTAGTTTGAATCCGTGGAGCAGGGTGAGCTCCTGTCTGTCAGCTCTAGATTCTTGTGCAGGACATGAGAGAAGGCTCCCACAGGATGTGCCACCGGGACTGTGGCGCAGTTGGCTGAAAGTCAGATGCATTAAGATCACTACTGACCAAAAGGTCATGAATTCAAAGCCAGCCCAGGTCGGAGTGAGCGTCTGACCAATTTTGTGTAGCTTGCTGGCCRCCTTTGCAGTCTGAAAGACAGTTGCATCTGTCAAGTAGGAAATTTGGTACCACTTATGCAGGGAGGCAAATTTAACTAATTTATGAGGCCATAAAAATCTCCAGCAAGCATGCAAAGAATGAGGAAGTACTTAATCAGTGACACAAATGGTCGGTGAAGAGACAGCTCCCCTGGTGGCCAAAATACCYTCAAGACAAAAGCTGGAATGTTAAAYTGCCTCTGTGTCTGTCTATATATGTTGTGCGTCTATGGCATTGAATGTTTGCCATGTATATGTACATTGTAATCCTCCTGAGTCCCCTGCGGGATGAGAACGGCAGAATATAAATACCGGTACTGTAAATAAATAAATAAATAAATAAATAAATAAATAAATAAATAAATAAAATAGTAGGTTTACTCAACARCCTTCATGTATTCAGCATACAGGTATATTCTTGTCAATCAAGTATTCATGCAAGGCAATTAGGTTTCTCAGCTGTTAAACTGATATACCTAGGTAACTCTTTGAACTACCAGGACCAAAGATATGCCAATGTACAAACACATACACACATATATAACAAAGTTTCAGAAGAGCGGAATATAAATACTTTAAATAAACAAACAAACAAATATCTGGGCATCCCCTGGGCAACGTCCTTGCAGACGGCCAATTCTCTCACACCAGAAGCAACTTGCAGTTTCTCAAGTTGTTCCTGACATGAAAAGAAAGAATCATTTCTGTCCTTTTCATTAAGATCTTGTGTTCATCTTYTATATTACATTAATGCAATTTGATACAACTTTGGTTGCTTTGGCTCGATGCTATGGAATCCAGTTTTGCAAAGCCTTCTTTGCTCACGTGTGTTGATGCCTCCACACACTGCAACTCCCAGAACTCCATAGCATTGATCCATGACAGTTCCAGTGGTGTGAAACTGCATAGATTCCACATCCCAGTTGCATCCTGACCTTTTCCCCATGCGATTCCTTGACCTACTTTGCACAAGCTGGGAGCGTACAGGTCAGAGCCCGTGTCCACCACGTAAATGCGTCCAGAGCCTAGACATGGTAGGATGAGGCGGTTGCGCTCAATGCTAGTATCCCCAAAGAATCTGCTGGAGGCATTCCATCCCGAGTGATGAAGTTCATCATCCAGATAAGGCATGCGCAAGCGGTGGATGACCTGTCGGGAAGACGGGGAACACATGATGTTGGCAAATCAGGCGGGGAAGGATCAGAGGACTGAAGACAGACTGGGAAATCTAGCCCGCTAAATATACAGACAGGGATAATTTAGGCTTATTTTTTGGGGAGGATGCCCAGATGGCCCGTGGCAATGCCAGTCCTATGAAAGAAATCCTTTCCCACCCAAACCAGTGTTATAACTCTTTGAACTTTGCTCATTGTCTCGTGAGTTAATTTGTGCTTAATCTTTTTCTGAGATCTGCATCTTGACATTCTTGCCTTCTCTTGTGACATTATCACTCTAAGGCTTTAAAATGAGCAGCCCTGCATTTATGTTGCCTGCAGAATTCTGGGAAATGTAGTTTAGGGCAGAACCTTTTGAATTCTCAGATAAAGAGACCATTGCCTTCCTAAATTACATTTCCGAGAATTCTGCTGAAATGCTTTAAAGTCCTGGTGTGATAACGTGACCGCACTTCTCTTCCTTGTGTTTAAAAAAGATCTCATACTCAGTAAATACAAATAAATGGAGTATTTTGCTTTAGCCGGCTGTGGGTTGGGATAGCTAAACAGAGCCTTCATGTTCACGTGCAGTCTACCTTTGTTTCTTAATCAAGAGATAAAAGTGAGGACCAGGCTTTAGCACAGTATGTTAACCACCAGCTGCAGTAAATCTTGCCAATCGAAAGGTTGACAAGGGTAAGCTCCTGGCCTTTAGTCCAGCTTCTGCCTAACTAGCAGTTCAAAAGCAAATGTGGGACTGTGGTGCAGCTGGCTGGGAGTCAGCTGCATTAAGATCACTACTGACCAAAAGGTCATGAGTTCGAAGCCAGCCTGGGTCGGAGTGAGCTTCCACCCAATTTGTGTAGCTTGCTGTTGACCATTGCAGCCCGAAAGACAGTTGCATCTGTCAAGTAGGAAATTTAGGTACCGCTTATGCAGGGAGGCTAATTTATGATGCCATAAAAATTTCCAGTAAGCATGCAAATAATGAGGAAGTACTTCATCAGTGTCACAAATGGACGGTGAAGCAACAGCTCCCCTGGTGGCCAGAATACCCTCATGAAAAAACTGGAATGTTAAATAGCCTCTGTGTGTCTGTCTATATTTGTTGTGTGTCTGTGGCATTGAATGTTTGCCATGTATATGTACATTGTAATCTGCCCTGAGTCCTCTGCGGGGTGGAAAGGGTGGAATATAAATACTGTAAATAAATAAATACAATTTTGAAGGGGCATGGGGAAGAAAGGATGGAAGGAAGGAAGGAAGGAAGAAAGAAAAGATGGGATGAAGGGAGGGAAGAAAAAGAAGAAAGGAAGAGGGAGAAAGAAGGAAAAGAGAGGGGAAAAGGTATATTAGGAAAAGCAAGGAAAGAAAGAGAGGAAAGAATCACAGAAACAGCCTGCCCAAAGAGAGTTGTGAGATTCTGGCAATCTTGTGAGATATCCCTTCCCAGAGCTGGAGAAGGGAGAACGCCGTGTCAGGTCTGTAGGCTAGTCTATATAAATAAAAATGTAATGTTCGTTTGTGGGATTAGCATAACTCAAAAACCACTGGACGAATTGCCGCCAAATTTGGCCACATGAAACCTACTAACCCAAGGAGTGGCCATCACTAATGAGTTTGTCATTTGAGAGTTGTAGTCTCTGGGATTTATAGTTAACCTACAGTCAAAGAGCATTCCGAACTCCACCAATGATGGAATTCAACCAAACGTGGTACACAGGACTCCCATGACCAACAGAAAATACTAGAAGGGTTTGGTGGGCATTGACATTGAGTTTGGGAGTTGTAGTACACCTACATCCAGAGAGCACTGTGGACTCAAACAATAATGGATCTGGACCAAACTTGGCACAAATATTCCATACGCCCACTAGGAACACAGATGGAGCTTGGGGGAAATAGATCTTGACATTTGGGAGTTGTAGTTGCTGGGATTTATAGTTCACCTACAATCATTCTGAACCCCCCGAATGATAGAAATGGGGCAAACATCTCACACAGAACCCCTATGACCAATAGAAAATCCTTAAGGCCACCCAGTCCAAGTCCTTTCACTAGGGCAAGAAAAGGTTATCAAATACTGTTTACCCACAAGCATAAAGAAATTACATATATTAGAAACCAACACTTTCTCGTTACTTTATTTTCCAGATCACCAGACTGGCTAGTTTGCTATAAAATAGGATTTACCTGGCTATAACATGGCGATTCCGGATCCACGTCCACTGTGGCCAAATAATCCGGTTGCCGGGTCTCAGATTCGGTTAAAACACACTGTACGTACATAAGCTTTTCTCTGGGGCCTGCGGAAACAAAGTCTAGCATCAGGCACTTAAAGGCAAGGATGTATTTTGTTGGATATGAGGAGGTGGAAACTGATCCTGGGTAGAAAATATTGGCCCGACTTACCTCTCATGGCATCCAATGGTGAATCATAGCCAGGTCCATCGTATGAATGACGTCTCCCTATACATTTGGGGGGAAAAAATGAAAGATCAAGATCTGGTTTATTCATATAGATGAAAGGGGAACCTGGATTACGAGGGTTGAATGAAAAGTAATGCCTCCACCTTCGTTACTTGGGTTTGGATGGGAATATTTTAATAAATCAAACCCCAAAATAATCCTTAGAATGTGCTCTTTAACTCCCACTATTCACTTTTCCACATAATTACCAGACAATTGGATACATTTCTGCCAACGATGAACAAGTTTTCTGAAGCTGTCACAGAAGAAGTCGACACTCTGTTTCCGCAATCAGCATCTCACGGTTCTCTCAACGTCTTCATCAGAAGCATAATGATGTTTCCACAAATCTTCTTTCATTATCAGGAACAGAAATGTTGATTATGCTTGAAATTTATTTCTGAGTGATACGATGATTGTCCTGAATCAATCTGTCAACCTTTTGCTTGTGAAACTTGGTAGTTGCTGTCACAGGACGTCCAACTCTTTGTTTGTCATGCAAGTCAGATGTTCCCACCTCAATAATGTGGCCCACATGTTCTTTGAAATGCCGATTATGTTTGAAATTTATCTCTGAGTGACACAACAATTATCCTGAATCAATCCGTCAACCTTTTGCTTGTGAAACTTGGTGGCTGCTGTCACAGGACATCCAACTCTTTGTTTGTCTTGCAAGTCAGATGTTCCCACCTCAACATCTTTAAACTTCCTCGCCAAACAACGCACAGTACTCACATCAACACAATCACCATAAATAGCTTGCATTCTCTGACTAATCTCTTTTGGGGTGACACCTTCTGCTGTCAAGAATTCAATGACTGCACGTTGCTTAAGTCGCATTGACTAACCGTCTGCGCATGGTTCCATACTTCACACTTTACCAACACAACCGTTCAATGCTAAGGCTTCCTGCCAAAATAGAACTGTAGAGGAGAGTCTACTGAACAAGTCAGTACCTGCCGCCACATACCAGTATTGCCATCTGTTGAGGAGTTACGAAGGTGGAGGCATTACTTTTCATTCAACCCTCATGTAAGAGGGCCAGCATTCTTTTAAAATGTGGGGAACTGGATTTTTCGAAATCATCTGGGTGTTTGGCCATTTCTGTAATGTGATAGCATTAGTTGCTCCCAGGTTTACAATGAAATGTGGAGGGCGAACATGTTGGAGGAACCAAAAGTACCCTTGTTAGGGAAATCATTACCTTTTGCTCGCCAAGTTTTTACTTTGCCAGAACAATTTTTTTTTAAATAATAGCCTTTCCGGGACCTTTCCTTTCCTTTTCTTCCCTTCCCTTCCTTCCATGATATGTCTGTGCCTTGTGTTGCATGGGAAAGCCAGGAGAGAAAGATTATTATTATTATTATTATTATTATTATTATTATTATTATTATTATATGCCATGTCTCCATGTTGTGCAGTCCTAGGAGTTAGTTTCCCAAGGTTCATACCCTTCTCTGGTTACATCTGTACTGCAGAATAAATGCAGTCGGGACCCATTATAATATTATTATTATTATTATTATTATTATTATTATTATTATTATTATAGTGATGTCTCCATGCTGTGCAGTCCTGGGAGTCATAGTTTTCCAAGGCCCATACTCTTGGTGCATTGACAGTATGGAATGAATGCCCTTGCACCCCACTTTAAATGCCATGGCTCCCTGTTATGGAGTCCTCCTGGGAGCTATAGTTTCCCAAGATCCATACCTTTCTCTTGTTGCTTCTACACTACGGAATGAATACTCTTGGAACCTACTTTAAATACCATGGCTCCATACTATGTAGTCCTGGAAGTTATAGTTTCCCAAGGTCCATACCCTTCTCTGGTTGGATCTGCACTGCAGAACAAATGCTGTTGTTGTTGTTGATGTTGTTGTTATGATGCCGTGTCTCCATGCTGTGCAGTCCTGGGAGTCATTGTTTCCCAAAGCCCATACCCTTCTCTTGGTGCATTAACAGTATGGAATGACTTTTTTTGTCGTGTCAGGAGCAACTTGAGAAACTGCAAGTTGCTTCTGGTGTGAGAGAATTGGTCGTCTGCAAGGACGTTGCCCAGGGGACACCCAGATGATTTGATGTTTTTATCATCTTTGTGAGAGGCTTCTCTCATGTCCCCGTATGAGGAGCTGGAGCTGATAGAGGGAGCTCATCCGCCTCTCCCCGAATTTGAACCTGCAACCTGTCAGTCTTCAATCCTGCCGGCACAGGGGTTTAACCCACTGCACCACTGGGAGAATGGAATGACTGCCCATGCACTCCACTTTAAATGCCATGGCTCCATGTGATGGAGTCCTCCTGGGAGTTACAGTTCCCCAAGGTCCAAACCCTTCTCTTGATGCATTTACACTATGAAATGAATGCTCTTGGACCCAACTTTGAATACCATAGCTCCCTACTATGTGGTCCTGGGAGGTATATTTTTCCAAGGTCCACACCCTTCTCTGTGGGGCAGCCAAGAGAGAGAGAGCTGACACCAACAATCCATTGTATTAAGTAATAAGTAGATGATAATGTTTTGAAGATCCTGGAAGCAAACCCTGTATTAAGCAATAGGTCAATGAACCATATATAAAAAGCAGACATCTCACCATGGTGACTCTTTGGGTCCAAACATAGACAGTGCCTCAAGTTCAAGGATGAAATAGTCAGGGACGAAGCCCTAAATCAGAATAAATTTCCCAAATGGAGACGGTTGAATGTCTTACCTTTATTTGGGTTCCTCTGGTCTGGAGTTTTTTCATCCAACACTTTGGTCTGGATCTTAGACATCTCCTTTGCAACCTCAATTTGTCTGACAGAAGTGCCTCTCCGCTCCCTAAAGGAACCTATATACATGCAGAGGATATCTCTCCATCTTTATATATAATAATGCAACTAAACAGTGAGGAGGAAGGTGTCTTTGCTGGAAAAACTCATTAAGGAAACGTCTGACTCGGGGAAAAAACAGTAGCAATTTCAATATGTTTTTTTTTTCATTGTGGTCCTAACCGGCTTCATTTAATTAATTTCGGGGAGCATAACTTATCACCTTCCCCTTCCCGCCTCCTTTGATGTTTTTCTCCCATTGCTTCTTCCGAAAAGACAAAATAAGACAACAAAGAAAAGACAACCCCTGAAGACACAGGTTCGCAGCATGGGAGTGATCCTAGATTCATTGTTGCGGCTGGAACCCCAGGCCTCGGCGGTGGCTAGGGGAGCTTTTGCACCATTCAAACTTGTGCACCAGCTGCACCCATACCTTGGGAAGCCAGACTTGGCCACGGTGGTCCACACTCTCGTTACATCTCGAATAGACTATTTATTTATTTATTTATTTATTTATTTACGTCATTTATTATTATTATTATTATTTATTTACCTATCCCGCCCATTTCAGCCCGGAGACGAGTCAGGGTGGCGTACAGACCGGCAACAATTAGATGCCACATACACTAGCTGTCCCCTGCCACTCATTGCTGTGGCCCAGTTTGGTGATCTGGAAAATAAAGTAATGAGGAAGTGTTGATTTCTAATATATGTAATTTCTTTATGCTTGAAGGTAAACAGTATTTCTTGCTGTTTCTTTCTCAGTGTTGATGTGGAGATTGTTTAGTTTGCCTACTCTGGAACATGCAACATATAATTGCACGTTCCAGAACCCCACCAATGCTCCCAGATTTGATAAATATGAATTTAATATGATGTGTGGGAATGAATGGAAGAATGGAAGGTGGATGTATGGAGTTAATAATTTTGGAAACACCAGTATAATATTAAGGCCTGCAATGACTAAACTACTTGCTTGCTGCTTTGTGATTAAAACCTGTTAAGGAGATCTGAAGAGTAAACTCTGATAAGAACTGGGACAGTGATAAAGGAAATGTTTGCAACCTTCCTTATGTTAAGAAGGAAGTCAACACAAGCCTTGTGTTTGTTAACACCAATCAAGAAGATCAACACTGAGATGGATCCAGGATAGAAGACGTCTATCATTAATTTACAACTTTGGGACTATATCAACAGCATATTCCTATAAAAGACTTCGCCTAATAATGCTCAGATTGTGGCAGACCTGAGGAGTCTGTTCCACCCGCCATGCTCTGCTCCATGGGAAGGACAGAGGTGGTGCATTCGGAGAGTGTCAGATATGCTATGGGAAAGCATGATTCTGGACACTTTGGGGCTTCTTTCTCAAGGGAAGAGGAAGAAGTGCACTTTTGGAGTCTTGGATTTTGTGCAGGGAGTCAGGTTCTGCTGTATGGAAAACAGAGATCTGGTCCTTGGCATTGTGCTTAGGGAAAGAAGTTTTGGCATCTCAGCGTTTTGAAGTTTTGGCGTTATGGAAGTTATGTAACTATGGGTTGGCAGGCTGCAGGAAAGCAGGGCCTGGCCTAACAGGTGTTTCTTCAAGGAGGGAGAGATGATATGGTAACATTTGGATGCATGTGGATGAATGCGTGTACATGTGTGTGAATGTTGAGTGAAAACGTAACTCCCCTTTGTTTGTTAACGAGTGTAATTGTAAAACCAATGTAGTTGCTGTATGTCTGTATGTCCAATGTCATTCTTTGACTAAATGTTTTCTGTAATCTAATATACCTTCTCACACTGGAAATTGCAATAAAAAGAACCTATGTTTAAAAGTCATTCATGACAAAAGCTCTCCTGACAGATGGACTAAAATGGAAATGAATAGTCAACATGCCCTCAATATGGTGGTGGAACTCCCTAGCTCAAGGCCCACTGGAGCAGCCCCAAGGCCTCCTCATGACACCTCCGAGCCTTGAGCCAGGGCGGAGTGTTAGAGACTGGGAATTTAGGGTGACAGGCCCAGAAGGCAGCGAGGAGATGAGATTCCGATGAGATTCTAACATCAAAGCCTATTAATGATCCTGTTGAATGTCTGACCCTGAGCTGTGGCTTGCCTATCTGCAAGTTGATTATCCATGGCAAAAGAATTTGTGGGAGTGTGGGAGTGTATCTGCTTGTGTCTGACTGAACAAGGAACGCAGATAATAATAATTCTTTCTCTATCAGCAGCAGCCCTTGGCAAGCAAGGTTTTCTCTATAGACAGGGATTCTGGGACTTGTAATAATTGGAAATTTATTTTTCTTAATCATGTTCCTATAGGAGGAGCAGGAGGAGGTCTCTCTGCTGGCGCTATCACAGTGACTGTGCCTGGGTGAGGCAGGCACCAGCAGTATGACAATGGAGACAGAGGAGCCTCCTGCTGCTCCACCGCCCTGGCTCAAGGCTCGAGTAGACACCACACAAGAGTCCAGAATGTAAGCAAACCGTTTATTGTAGAAACACATGACAAATATAGGCAAAAATCAGGAATAAAGAAAGCAAATGTATACTCCAAAATTGTTTAGCACTCTATGATAATCCAAACAGTAATCCAAATCTTATGCAGATCCCAAGTTCAGAAATAGCCATGTTCCAGAAGCATTCTCTCCTGACGTTTCACCCACATCTATGGCAGGCATCCTCAGAGGTTGTGAGGTCTGTTGGAAACTAGGCAAGTGAGCTTTATATATCTAGAATAATGTCCAGGATAGGAGAAAGAACTCTTGTCTGTTTGAAGCAAGTGTGAAAGATGCAATTGGCCACCTTGATTAGCATTGAATGGTCTTGCAGCTTCAAAGACTGCTTCCTGCCTGGTAAATTCTTTGTTGGAAGGTGTTAGCTGGCCCTGATTGTTTTCTGTCTGGAATTCCCCTGTTTTCTTAGTGTTGTTCTTTATTTACTGTCCTGATTTTAGTGTTTTTTTAAATCCCGGTATCCAGATTTTGTTCACTTTCATGGTTTCACCCTTCCTGTTGAAATTGTCCCCAAACTTGTGGATTTCAATGGCTTCTCTGTGTCGTCTGACATGGTGGTGGTCAGATTAGTCCAGTATTTCTGTGTTCTCAAATAATATGCTGTGTCCAGGTTGGTTCATGAGGTGCTCTGCTATGGCTGACTTCTCTGGTTGAAGTAGTCTGCAGTACCTTTCGTGTTGGAGTCTGAGGGAATGGTAGGAATATATGCTAGTAGAACAATTGTATGTCTCATGTTGACCTTTATAGCAAGGAGACATGACAGCAAGCATTGAACAAAAAAAAAAATGGAGAGATCCCAATTCTTGAGTGATCCTCTTGCCGATATGAAGAGAAGGAGAAGTTTGAGGGAAAGGAAGAAAGGAAAGAAAGAGCCAGAATTGCCATGGAGACATTGTGAGGTGAAGAACAGAGGAAGCAGCAGAAAGTAGCCCCAAGGACATCCAGAAAATGATGGGGATAGACCCCAATTTGTTGAGCGTTCCCCCAATGATATGGAGTCGGCTTGGAAAGGATACACATTATTCCCAGATGTCGGAGGTGCAATCTCCACCGGGATAGCGCATGTCGTGTGCCCGAGCTGGACCAAACGGCTCATGCCTGAAATCTACCAGAAAATTTGGGTTCACGCAAAGGCCACCACGCTCAGTGTCCATGTTCAGCTGGAGCATGACTGAACCTTCCCTGGAAAATACATAATGCGGGGCAGAAGTCAAAGTTGTGACCGAGCTATGGACACCTTATAATAAGACTCTCCTGGCTGGATGTACACAGAAAAGGCCTTCCTTTGAGGTGGGAGTGCCCAAGGCCACTCTTACCTGACCAACTTGGGGTAAAATTGCTTGTCCCAAGCAGTCAAAAGAGAGGTGGTGACAAAAAGACGGGTGCCATCCAAGCTCAGTTGCAGCATTTGAGGCCCTCCTTGGACCTTCTTGCCCTAAAGACAGCAAAGAATAAATAGCCTCAGGATGGAAAAAAATGTAAAAAGGAATATTAAACACAGAATTCCCAGTTTTCTCTGCAAACCCTCTGAAAATTCAAGTAACGGAGCAAATCCAAGGCAAGTTTGGATTCGGAAGGCTGGATTTCTGTACAGCCTCTTCCCATTTTGATCTGTTTCCAAATCCCAAAACTGTCTGGCCCAACATAGACCTTACGTGGATCACAAAGGGATCAGGTTGACAGTCCAGCTCTGGATCTTCAAGGACAGTTACGGGACCCCCTTTCTGAAGGCTGCCCCCCACAAACACCTAAAGATCCCAAAGAGACAAGTCAGTTGAGAACTAAAAACAACAGGAGTGAAGGAATTGGGGGTCCCATGTTCTCATCATAGCCAGCCAGCTGTTGCACTCGAGGTCTGACTTAAGAACACACCACATGAAGAGTGAAGAAACAAATCTTCTTTTAGTGAAGCTTAGTGAATATCCAGAAGAAATAAATGCTTGTAAGATAATAAGAAAGTTCCAAAAAGTAATAAGTCCATAAAAGGTAGTAACACAAAGCAATGTCCACACAGATATAAAAGCAATCCAAGACAATATTTATCCAGCCAGGAATCAACAGGATGCAAAGACAACCCAAAAGGCTAAAAAACTCCACAGGAACAAGACTCCTTGAACAGGATTTCCATGGCACATGAACTTGATTTCCAAATGATGCCTGATCTAACAGGTTTCCCCTTGAGGCAAACCTTATATCCCAAAACTCAGAAATTTGGTTTTGCTTTCCCCCACATTTACCCCTTGTCAGACGAAGCCTTTCAAAGCGACGTAAACACTGAGTTTGCTGTCGATCCTGGCTAATCTCCAGCCGCCTATTCTTCAGCTCCCTATCTGGCTGCTCATTAAAATTCCCAGGTGTCGGATTGTTTTCCAAACCCAAATCTTGAGAGCTCACAGAGAGAGGGAGTGAACCATCATTACTAGGCCCAGCAGGAATATTCTCATGAGAAACTGCCCTTTGCACTGGGGCCTCTCTGTCATTGCCTAAAAATCATTGACCAAACCATCTCCATATTGTACCTCAGCTTCAGCACCATCTTTTCTCTCATCATTTCCCTCATCATTTCTCACATCAGGATCCTAAAACACAAACACAGGCTGATTCCCAACACCAGCAGCCAGAAGTGATGGGATCCATCATCTGGAAACGTGTAATTAGGGAAGGTTGCAAGCTTACCTGCCCGACTAGTTTGGGACAATGTGGGTCGGTGATATCATATTGCCGGACATCGCCATGAACCCAGTTGCTACAGTAGAGGAACCGGTCATCCAGAGAGATGACAATGTCGAAAGTGAACCCTGGAAGAGGAGCAGGATCATTGAGTCATAGAAGACCCCAAGGGTTCAAACCTCTTCTGGCAAGCTAGAAGACACAGTCCAAGCCCTCCCAACACATGGCCATCCAATCCCTCCTTCAAAACCTCCAGAAAGCAAGACTCCACCAGATTTCCAGGAAGCAAATTCCTGTGTAGAATTGCTGTTGCAGTCAGGATGTCCTTCCTAATGTTTAGATGGAATCTCTTCTTGCAGTTCCAATTCAGTGTTCCTAAAGTTCTGGTAATGAAAATTTCATAACTCTAACAAAACTTTCAAAATTTTGTTATAAATGTCAGCTCCTAATTGGTTCTGTCATAAAAATCACCAATAATGAAATAGTAATGACATTTTGAAAGTTTTGTTAGAGTTCTGAAATTTTCACCACCAGAACTTTAGCAACACTTTAGAAGCAAAGCACCAGTGCCCCCTAGTTTTGTAAGTACTTTAGAACCATTTAGAACCATGGATTGCCCGCCCACCTTTATAAAACCTCAGTGCCAAATGGCTGCTTTCTTGTGTTACTAACCTGGCATTTCGGGGTAGATCCATCCCGATACTTTCTTGTTTGGGACTTGAATCACTTTTTCAGCCTTCCAGCATCCATCCTACAGGAAAAAAACCAAATTGATCAGGAAAATGGGCGTTTTCCCCCTGGTTTTTCTTGGAGGGAGTTTGCCTTTGCCTTCCCCTGAGGCTGAGAGAGATGGTGGGCTTCCAAAGCAGAAAAGGAATCCAAACCTAGGTTCTTCAGACACCAAACCATTAAACCACCCTGGCTCCCCACAACCAATTAACTTCTTTCATAGCCACTCTTTCCCCTTTTTCACCTCTGTCTTAAAGAAATGGTGGATGGAACTCTGCAGAAAACAGGCCACATAACCGTGGGGTGAGTTGGGGTTGTGCAAGAAGCGGACCTCCGACGGGTCTGAATCTTCACCCAAATCGACTGACTGAAGGAGGCAGTGGGTGGTCCAGTCCCAAACATTGAGGTGGCGTACATAGCACCCTGTGGACAAACAGGATCCAGGATTATTCCAAGTGATGTCTGACCAAAGCAGAGTGGGACTATGGCTTCCCTCAATCTGGGCACTATACTCCTTTTGATGCAGCCTAGAATCACATTGGCTTTTGTAGGTGCCACATCACACTGTTGGGTTGTGTTCACCTTGTGGTTTACTAGAACTCCTAGATCCCTTTTACATGGAAGTTCTCACCTTTTCCCAGAATGTCCAGGTTGAACCCATTGATAAAGAACTTGGGCACCCCAGTATCACTGCTGATCAGGACGTTGTGTCGCGGCTGGAACCAGAAGTCACACATCTGGACGGGTCCATCTTCTGGACAGTTCCAGGTCCCTTTCACTTCCCAGGTTTCCGGATCCAGAAGGAGAAATCCTCCTGGGACCAAAAAACAGGAATTGCTGGGATCAGAAGGCAATGTGCTTGCCAAGAGCAAATATTACTATTGATATCCTGATTTCATCCCAATGTTTGGGATTCAAGGCAGGTGACTTATTAGAATACTCATAGATGTGTGTGTGTAATTTCCCCCTATTTTGGAGGACTAATTATATTCCCAAATTGGCATCTACGCCTCCAGTACCTCTTCCGTTGCCAAATGCATCTCCAACAGCGCAGATCATAATTTCCCCGCTGCTCAAGCAATGTGAGGAGTGCAAGAAACCCAAGTTGCATTTCTTGATGCTTTCTTGGGGTTCGATGATCTGATGAGGTGTTGGAAAGATAGAAAAAAGGTCATTACATCATTGGATCGGAGCTCCTGGTGGCGCAATGGGATAAATCCTTGTGCTGGGAGGATTGCGGACCAAAAGGTCGGTTTGAATCCTGTGAGTGGGGTGAGCTCCCATCTGTCAGCTCTAACTTCCCATGCGGGGATATGAGAGAAGCCTCCCACAGAATGGTAAAATATCTCCAGGCGTCCCCGAGCAACATCCTTGCAGATGTCCTTGCAAATGGCCAATTCTCTCACACCAGAAGCGACTTGCAGTTTCTCAAGTCGCTCCTGACACGAAAAGAAATAATCATTCCGTGGTTTTCGTTAAGATCTTGTGTTCATTTTCTATATTACATTAATGCAATTTGGTACAGTTTTGATTGCCTTGAGTCAATAATATGGAATCCAGTTTTGCGAAGATTATAGCCTTCTTTGCCCAAGTGTGCTGGTGCCTCAGCAAACTGCAACTCCCAGAACCCCATAGCATTGAGCCATGACACTTCCAGTGGTGTCAATCTGCATACATTCCACATCACAGACACCCCCTGACTTTATCGCCGTGTGATTCCTTGACCTACTTTGCACAAGCTGGGAGCGCATAGGTCAGAGCCTGTGTCCACCACATAAATGCGTCCAGAACGTAGACACGGTAGGATGAGACGGTTGCGCTCAATGCTAGTGTCCCCAAAGGATTTGCTGGAGGCATTCCAGCCCGAGTGATGAAGTTCGTCATCCAGATAAGGCATACGCAAGCGGTGGATGACCTGTTGGGAAGATGTGGAGGACATGGTGTTGGAAAGTCAGTGTATTCGAATGCAAAGTTGTGTTTAAGTTTCATTTTACTATAAAAACATGTCTGTATTGGAATGCAACTTTGTGTTGAAATGTCAAATCAACCGACCAATTACTTTTTGGGTTCTGCAAGCACAAATGTACGCAGGCTGAGGTTTTATATATAAAGACTGTACAACAAAGGCTCATGGATCTGGGCTAAACCTGTCAAACAAACCCAACTTAAAATAATTGAGGGTTTGAACTTTGAAAGCACCCTTTGTGGGCCCAGAGCAAATAGAAAGAAGAGGGACAAAGCAGATTGTTTATTGCAGGGTGAAGTGGCCCTCTGTGGTGTCTCTGGGAAAGCCAGGGAGTAAAGCAGATTGGCTGCCAATTGGTGACATGTCTGAGGTGAAGAGAGAAAGAAAAGAAAGAGAAAAAGAAAGGAACGGAAAGAAAGGAGAAGGAAGGAAGAAGGGGAAGGGAGGGAGGGAGGGGAGAGGAAGAAAAATGAAGGAATAAAGGAAGAAAAAAAGAAGGGGAAAAGAAGAGAGAATGAAGGAAAGAAAGAGAAACATAAAGGAAAGGAAAGAACAGAGAAGGAAGGTAAAAGGAAGGAAGGGGAGAGGGAAGAAAGAGAAAAAGTAGGGGGAAAAGAGAGAAGGAAGGAAAGAAAAAGCAGAGAAGTGAAAGGAAAGGGGGAAATTTTGAGAGGAGGGAAAGGAAGGGAGGGAGGGAGGAAAATGGGATGAAGGGAGGGAAGGAAGGAAAAAAGGAAGAGAAGAAAGAAAGAAAGAAAGAAAGAAAGAAAGAAAGAAAGAAAGGAGGAAAAGAGAGAGGAAAGGCATATTAGGAAAAGCAAGGAAAGAAAGAACGAAAAGAGAGGAAAGAATCACAAAACAACCTTCCCAAAGAAAGTTGCAAGATTCTGACCATGGAAATATTGTGAGATAGCCCTTCCTAGAGCTGGAAAAGGGGGAAGGCCATGTCAGGTCTATAGGCTAGTTTGCTATAAAATAGAATTTACCTTGCAATAACATGGTGATTCTGGATCCACGTCCACTGTGGCCAAATAGTCAGGTTGCCGGGACTCAGTTCCGGTTAAAACACACTGTACGTACATCAGTTTTTCTTTGGGGCCTGTGGAAACAAAGTTTGGTATCAGAATCTTAAAGGCAATGATGTATTTTGGTAGATATGGGGAAGATGTATTTTGGTAGATATGGAACACCCTCCCTGTAGACATCAGACAGGCGCCCTCCCTTATGACATTCCGCAAGAGCCTAAAGACGTGGTTGTTTGAGAAGGCGTTTGACTAAGTGCTACAACAAATTGGCAATGATGAGTGGAACGGAATATGGATAATGAGATTGGATTGTGATTCTATGATGAGACGCCGCGAATGATTTAGAGTAATGGTATTATTAATAGTGATGTTGTTATTGTTGTTTATGATATTGCTTTTATTGTAAATTGTCTTTTTATATGTTGTACACCGCCGTGAGTCGCCCTAGGGCTGAGAACGGCGGTCAACAAATGCAGTAAATAAATAAATAAAATAAGTGGAACATGATCCTGAGTAGAAAATATGGGCCCGACTTACCTCTCATGGCATCCAATGGAGAAGTGTAGCCAGGTCCATGGTATGAACCACGTCTCCCTATACATTTTGGGGGGGGGGGTGAATGAAAGATTGAGATCTGGTTTAGTCACATAGATGAAAGAGGAACCTGGATTGTAAGAGTCATCATGGAGGACATAGAACGTGCCTGGAGAGGACATGTTTTGTCAAACGTGGATAAATGAAACCATATGAAATCTTGGCTGAATTTCTCTTATGCTTCATAATCTGGGAATCTATCCCAATGCTCTTGGAGGGGGTCCAAACTCCAGCCAATGCCAACGATCCACTAAATTAAGTAATAATTAGATAATAATGTTCTGAAGATCCTGGAAGCAAACCCTGTATTAAGCAATGAGTAAACAAACTGTATATGAAAAGCATTCGTCCCACAATGAAGATAAAAGGTGAAGCGGGACCCAGGATTGGAGAGTCTTTGGATCCACACGTAGACATCCCTGAATTAACGTCCCTAATGGAGACGGTTGAATGTCTTACCTTTATTCAGGTTCCTTTGGTCTGGAGTTTTTACATCCAACGCTTTGGTCTGGATCTTAGACATCTCCTCTGCAACCTCAATGTATCTGACAGCGAGGTGTCTCTCCACTCCTCAAAGGAACCTATATACGTGCAGTAGATATCTCTCCATCTTCATATTAAATGTGGTCTTTTTCATCATGGCGTCAACTTACTTCAATTAATTTCAGGGAGCATAAACATCACCTTCCCCTGCTGATATACGCCTTGTGCTTTTCTCCCATTGCTTCTACCAAAAGATAAAAATAGTTTTTAAAAAGGGTTATTAGGGATTTCTCATCTGCATTCTATCAGCCCACGGCCAGTGAGCTCCCAGAGTTGCCATAAATTTATTATTATTTATTTACAGTATTTATATTCCACCCTTCTCACCCCGCTGGGGACTCAGGGCGGATTACAATGTACATATACATGGCAAACATTCAATGCCATAGACACACAACATATATAGACAGACACTCAGAGGCTATTGAACATTCCAGCTTCTGGCCACCAGGGGAGCTGTCGCTTCACCGTCCATTTGTGTCACTGATGAAGTACTTCCTCATTCTTTGCATACTTCTTGGAGACTTTTATGACCTCGTAAATCAGTTAATAAAGCCTCTGAGTACCATTTTAACAATTCTATGTGTAATTTTGTGTTCCTGTTTATACTCTGTAGCTTTTAAAATGCAGTCATGTTTTTACTGCTGTGCAGTGCTTGTTTAAGAGAGGAAAGTGGAAAATAGCGAGATGGAATGTTAACAGACACAGAACTGAAAGAGCCATATTTTTGTAAAATCCAGTTTATTTTCATACCTTTCAGTGCCCCAAATTTGGCAAGTTAATCCTTTGCAGACCCACTTTTCCACCTGTGTTTAAAATGTCCCAGTCTCTCTCACTTTCTCCCGTCTTTGTACTCAGTTTATATCAGTTGCTGCAAACAAAATTTCAAAACTACAAAAATAGTTCAATAGGGAAGAAAAGAGCACTGAAGCAGCTTTGGTCCATGCAGCTGTCCTTTTCTGGCATTTGTGATGTTTTGCGCTTATTTATCTTGTATCTATCTCTATCTCTATATATGTGTGTGTGTCAAAAGTATATAATGTTCACTCACTTATGACAGCTGTTACGATCCAGGACCACGCGCAAAAAGTGAAAATCTGCAAAGTAGGGACGCTATATTTATTTTAATATTATTTTAATATTTATACATTATTTTATTTATTTATTTATTTAAAACAAAGAGAGGGGGCAGGGGACAATTCCATCTTGTCTCCTGTGCTATGTTAATAATATAATAATGTAATATAATATATTGTATATACATATAATATTTATAATGTTATAATGTAATGCAATATAATACTACTAATAATAATATGATATTATTATATATTTATATTACATGTAATATTACTAATAATATTACAATATAATGGTGTAATATAATATAGTAATAATATTGATATTGTACCATGCTAATAATATATAATGTGTGTGTGTGTGTGTGTGTGTGTGTATCTATCTATCTTGTAAGCCACTCTGAGTCCCCTTCGGAGTGAGAACTGCGGCATATAAATGTCGTAAATAAATACATAAATAAATATATTTTAAATTAATATTTATTGTAAAACCACGAAACAGCGAGTCTGCTAAAAGCGAACTGAGAGGCAGCAAGGGAACACTATATATGTTTGTTTGTCTATCTTTTTGTACCACAAAAGTCTCTTGCTAGGTGAAGTGGCCCTTTGTGATGTCACTGGGTGAGAGTTGCACCTCAGCCAGAATTCACTTTGCACTCAACACCAACCAGGAATCCAAGAGTAGTAGCAAAACAGTTTATTGAGAAAAGCAAATATTAAGAAAGGCAATTCACCACAGGAAATAAGAAAAGGAATATCCATCAAGTAGAGGAGAAAAGCATTCAGAAAGTAATAGTCTAAATCAAACAGGTGATGGGGGAAAAGCATTCCAAAGGTAGCCATCCAAACAGTCCAATTCTGTTTAGTAAAACAAGGTATAGAAAAGAGTTCTTTTTCCCACCCTGAACCTTTCACATATCTTTAAAGAGAAGCCTCTCGCAGGATGGTAAAACATCTGGGCGTTCCTTTGTGGAACATTCTTGGAGATGACCTATTCTTTCACTCCGGAAGCGACTTGTAGTTTTTCAAGGTTTGGAAGTTATGAGGTCTTCACAAACGGACAGTACATTTTTATTTATATAGAATGCCTGCAGATATGTGTACCTGTGTTTATGTTTGTGAGTATGTGTGTGGGTGGGTGGGTGTCTACAGGCAAGAAAGGGAGGAAGGAGGGAAGGAAGGAAAGAAAGGGAGGAGGGTAGATCCAAAGAGAAATAAAATCCAAATAAAATCTCAATTTTTTCCAAAAACCAGGTGAGCTTGCAATGTTAAAAATAGAACAATTTTAAACTAAAAGCCAACCACAGATGAAATTAAAGCATCACTGGGCTTCCCTAGATGGCCAGACACCATCATCAGTGGCCACAAAACCTCAAAAAGAGGAATCAGCCTGACTTGGCAGACTTTAACCATCCACAGGCTCCGTTCCTGCCTCTTGAGCGATAGCTCAACCTCTTTTCCTTTTGACATCAAAACACCCAGGGCTGCCTACATGCTTTTGCAAAATGTGTTGTAGAAAAAAGGCTTTTTTGGAGACTCAGATTTTCCCCGAGTCTAAGTTGCTTAAGTTGGTTATATGAGGGTTGAATGAAAAGTAATGCCTCCACCTTCGTAACTCCTCAACAGATGGCAGTACTGTTATCCAGTAGGTACTGGCTTATTCAGTAGACTCTCCTCTACAGTTCCATTTTGGTAGCATTGAACGGTTGTCTTGTTAAAGTGCAGAGTATGGAATCCTGCGTAGACAGTTAGTCAATGCGACTTAAGCAGCATGCAGTCATTGAATTCTTGACAGCAGAAGGTATCACCCCAAAGGAGATTAATCAGAGAAACTGTTTATGGTGATTGTGTTGATATGAGTACTGTGCATCGTTGGGCGAGTAAGTTTAAATATGTTGAGGTGGGAACATCTGACTTTAGTGACAAAGAGTTGGACGTCCTGTGACAGCAACCACTGAGTTTCACAAGCAAAAGGTTGACGGACTGATTCAGGACGATTGTCGTATCACTCAGAGAGAAATTTCAAACATAATCGGCATTTCACAAGAACATGTGGACCACATTATTGCTTTGCTTGGCTATCGGAAGATCTGTGCACGATGGGCTGCGGAAACAGAGTGTCGACTTCTTCTGTGATGGCTTCAGAAAACTTGTTCATTGTTGGCAGAAATGTATCCAATTGTCTGGTGATTATGTCGAAAAGTGAATAGTGGTAGTTAAAGAGCACATTCTAAAGATTATTTCTGCATTTGATTTATTAAAATATTCCCATCCAAACCCAAGTTTGTTTGTTAAAAATGCAATGCAGCTGTTTGGTCTGCCCCTGACACGATAAATAAATAATCCAAACCCAAGTAATGAAGGTGGAGGCATTATTTTTCATTCAACCCTCCTATGTTAAAGACTTGCCTTTCCCTACTTAGTATAAAAGTGGTTACATTAACTGTTGTCAGTAGACATGCTTATCTCTACCATTATTATTATTTGCATCAATTTTTGATATCAAGTAGCATTAGTACTTCCATGTCAATGAAGACGATTGACCCAAGGTTTCTGCTTATAGAGTCATTCTGGCCAGATCTTGTCCAAGACTGATTTAAACTCGAGAAGGAAGTCAAGTAAGAAAGAAAAAAGCAAAGGAAGAGAAAGGAAAGAAGACATGACAGCAAGCATTGAACGAAGAAATATTGGATAGACCCCAATTTATGGAACATTTCTCTCGCCGATATGAAGTCGAATAGGAAAGGATGCACGCTATTCCCAGATGTCAGAAGTGGAATCTCCGCCAGGGTAGCGCATCTCTCTTGCCCGAGCCGGACCGAACGGCTCGTGTCCAAAATCCACCAGGAATTCCGGTCTCACTTTTAGGCCGCCATGCACAGTGTTCACGTCCAGCTGGATCATGATCGAACCTTCCCTGGAAAAGACATAATGCGAGACAAAAGTCAAAGTTGTGTGCCGTCAAGTTGTTTCCAACCCATGGACACCTTATCATGAGGCTTTCCGGGATGGATGTGGACAGAAGAGGCCCTTCTCTGAGATAGCCAGAGTGTGACTCATCTAAGGCCACTCTTACTTGAACTGTTTGGGGTAAAACTGCTTGTCCCAGGCCGTGAAAATTGAGTAGGTGACGAAGAGACGGGTGCCGTCTAAGCTCAGCTGCAACATTTGAGGCCCTCCTTGGACTTTCTTGCCCTAAAGACAGCAGGGAAGAAAAAGCCCCAGGATTAGGGAACATCCAAAAAGAACTATGAAACACGGAAAGGCCAGATTTCTCTGCTGGCCTTCTCAAAATCAAGTGGGGAATGTAATGGCGCTGTTGCACTCCAGAACAGGGATAGCCCTCTGATTTTAAAACACCACACGTTGAGTAGGGAAACAATCCTTTTAATTGAAGATAAATAAAAGCAGCAAAGTAGAAAAACCACTTTAAGGGAATAGGTAAATCCAATTAGAAAGAAGATAAGCAGAAACAAATTACTCCAAGGTATGGCTCAGCAAAGTTCACAAACAAAGTCCAGACTTCTGTAATAAAATCCAATGAAACAGGGAAAGGTTCTTCTAAGGCATGAGTAGGTAATCACAAGAGACAAAGAGACAAACCATACAGCAAGAAATCCGTAAACATGAATCTTCCAAGCAAGGCTTTCATGAGACAAGAGCAACAATTTAGCAGGAATCTGAAACAATGCTTCATCTGACTATATTTCCCATGCGTGGAACTTTATATCCTCAAATTAAGCCATTCCAAGCACTCAGAAATTGGTTTTGTTTTCCCTGAATGCCTCTCATCCTTATCTGTCGAAGCCTGGCAGAACGCCAAAGGCCTTGGTCGAGCTGTCTTTTTTGGCTAATTTTTACCCACCTGTCTATATGCTCATTAGTCCCTGCAGGTGCCAAG